CGGCACATGTTGTTGCAGGTGATTTGCAAGGCAGGTCCTGTGGTGCCGGCACGGCCCTTCCCTCGGTGGTTAACCCAGGTCTGGACGGGCACCTGCGGCCCCGTTTGCTGCCATTAGTGGCAACTAATTGAGCACTGAAACCTCCAAGGCCCTGGGAAGAGCCCTGAGGTACTTTCCTGGGAACTACATGGGATGCTCCCACCTCCTCTGCTCTGCTGAGGCAATGGGGTTTGATCCGGGACAAACCTGTCCCTGCGTCCATGTTTGCCCAGTTCCTTCAGCTGCCTCGGCTGTGCCATGGCCAAGCCTTGGGAAGTTGGAATAAATTAGGTCAGGGCTTTCCCTCTCTCTGCTGAGAGCTGCCAAGGCACTCAGAGGGGTGGCAGAGATGTGGGTCCCTTCGTGCTAGCCATGCTCCATCACCTCTCATCTGCCAGCACCGGTGCCAGCCCTTTTCCAGGTACCAGCACAAGGCTTCACCTGTGTCACCCTGGGGCCTTTGGAGCCAAAAGGTGGCATGGCTTGGGTGATCCTGCCCTTAAAACACACATGGATGTCCTGGGGACAGAGTTTGTTGTCCCTTTGCTCTTTGTCCCAAAAGCAACCCTCATCCCAAGATGCGAGGAGAGGGAACGTGGGCTGGGACATGGGCTCGTGTCTTTGTCAGGGCTTCCCATGTCCCTGCCACCAGGCACTGGTCATCCCCAAACACTCTGGAGCTGGTTGGGCACTTCTGCTGGCCAGGTGGCCACCCTGTCTTGGGGCTGGGACGTCCATCCCACCTTGTTCCCTCTGTCACTGGCTCTCATGAGGAGGCTGGAGCATCATCATCAACACTGCTAATCTCCCCCAGCAGTCTGAAGTATAAAAAAATATATTTGTTATATACAGTGTAATAGAGTTAATAGACTATAAACTGCATGCTATATGCTAGCTAGTAGATAATATATTGTGTATATATATAAATAACTAGTATGCAATGTGTATAATGTGAGTATAACTGTGCATATATGTGTATATATATACATATATAGTGTAAATGGACCATTTATGCCTATATATACTTATTATATACATCATGCCATATACACCATACAGATGTACACATATATTTACATATGAGATAGATATAGATATATACATATATATATACAGAGAAATATATATACATATAGAAAACATATTTTTAATATTTATGTATGGTTTACATGTTGTGGTGAGGAGAAAAAGGGAGAGAGAGGGCATGTTTACATATGTGTAGAGCACAGTGAAGCTTCCCTGGCTCCGTGGCCAGTGCAGGACAGTGAGGAGGAAGAGGAAGGGAACAGGAGGAAAGGCACAGCAAGGAGAAGGAGGGAGAATACAAACCGCTCTGAGTTACAAACGCTCCCCTCTTTGATTAATTGTACTTTCTGTTTGATAAATGTTACTCATGAGTATAAAATATGCAAAGCACTTAGCAAGTTCACACTGTTTAAAGAACTCAACTAACTAAATTAAAATTCGATGATACGAGCCGAGCCGCTGAAGAGCAGCGTGGCAGCACCGTTTGGGGAGCCAGCCCTGCACCACAACACATCCTGCCCCCACAACCCTCCCCAGAGAGCCCAGCCCAGCCCAGGGGAAGGAGGGTGGGTTTGGCAAGGCCACGGGTGGGGGTTTCTTGTGTGGCTCTGGGTCCCTGCAGGGTGGTGAGGGGTTGAGAGGGGCCAAGCCAGAGCATCCTCTCCCCACCCTTTCTTGGTAGAAAAGGGCTAAATAATTTGATTTAATTTCCAAGCTCTCACCATTGCAGGTGGCAGCATCCAAAGACCCAGTGGCCCCAGTCTATCACCAAAATTGCCACACCAGGGATTTTCTGGCACTGCTGAGCCCCAGTGCAGCACCCCAGCATCCCACCCTTGAACCACCACATTTCCCGTCACACCCAGGTTAGTGACACCTCCCTGCACACTCTATCCTTTCAGTCCTTTGGAGAAAACCAACTCAGCCCTTTCTGGATTTCCCAAAATGGCAGCTGAGGAGCCTTGAGTGAAGGGGAGCCCCCCTGGCATGGGAAGGATGTGGGATCCTGTCCCTCCATGGGAGTCCTGTCAGCTCTCACCTCTGCCTCAGCACTCTGGGGAGGATGAGGTGTTCACTGGGAGGACGAGGTGTGCACTGAGAAAACACAGTGGGAGGATGCAGTGTGTGCACTGACCAGTTTCCCTGGCTCCCAGCGTGTGGCACGTGCCTCACTCACAGTGACCACACTCCTCAGCCTCCCGCTCTCTGCCATTCCCATCATCCCAGGTGAGCAGGGCTTGCTGGAGGCGGCAGAGCTTCGAGAGCAGCAGCAGCAGCTGTGTCAGGCAGGTAGCAGCTCCCTCCTGCCTGCAGTTGAGAGGAGAAAGAAGGAGGAAAACCTGGCCTGGATCTGGCCTGACTGAGCTCCTGCCTCTCAGGAAAGATTCAAGAGCCCCACTGGAGAGGTTTAAGCCTCGGGGCGACCCCCTGGATCTGATAGGACCCCAAGCTGCTCCTCTCCTTTTCTCACAGCACAGGGGCCACAGCCCACTGGAAACCCTCACATCTAAAAACCCCACTGATGGAGCTTCAAGTTCATAATTTCTGTGATGCCAACAAACCCAGACAGAGTGTTGGTGCTGATGGGCAAAAACTCTTTGTTTCTTAGTGCCAAGGAGTATTTCTTCAGTTCCTCATTCTCTCCAGAGCCTCCTCCCAACCCTCCAACCAAGCTGAGCTCTCAGGGCAAGAAGCTGCAGGCAGGACATGGGGACTTGACTGGGGGAAAAAGGCTTTTCTTCAAAGATCCAAGTCTTCACTAGGTAGATGAATCCTTCTGCAAGGCGTGATCCTGCATCCGTGACGGGCAGAGACTAAAATGATCCACACTTTGCAAAACTTCCTGGGAGATGCTGTCAGGGAGGGATGAGCCGGTGTGGCACCACAAGGCGCTGCTGCAGAGCCAGCCCTGAGCCCAGCCCCGAACCCAGCCCCAAGCCCAGCCCCGAGCCCAGCCCCGAGCCCCCGGCACGGCCCCGGAGCCCCCGGCACATCCCATTGCGGCACGGCCCATGCCGGGCTCGGTGGGAACAAGCCGGCTCAGCTTATCCTTGCAGTTAGAGCGATGATTTAGCCCCTGTGAACCCACCCGGCTGTAAATCCTGGCACAGACAAGCCCCAAACATTCATTTCAGGCAACGCAGTTTGTGTCATCTCGGCATTAGCATTTGCACTCTTATTAATTAATACTTGTTAAACCAAGACTAAAAATAAAGCGCTCGGCTCCCTGTCTCAGCTAACGCCTCTTTGCCCTCGCCCGGCAGCACGGCTGGGCTGTGGCACCCGCTGCTCCCTTCTCCAGAGCCAGAACAGAGGGAATTAAAGCACTGTGTTGAAGCAGGAATCCTGCTAAAGCGAAAATCACCCCCTTCTGCACCACCTTGGTGGGACAAACCGGCCTTTCCAGCCATGGCTACAGGTGTGCACGGTGTGAGGATCACCCTCACCTCCGCCTGGGATGAGCCAGGGGTGATGGAGTCAGCAGCACACACAGCATTTAACCTCTTTTTTTTTTTTTTTTTTTTTTTTTCCATTCCAGCTTTGAGTTTGTTTTTCTTTTGCTGCTCTTTTTCCTCCTGGGCTGGGCCATTCTAGTTGGACTTCCCATTTGGAGCTGATTTCATTTCCCAGGCGGGATATCCGTGGAGGGCTCATGTCCAGGAAGGAAATGGTTCATCGTGGTGGGCACAGGTGGGATCAGTGCCTGCACACAGGCAGGTGCTGCCACCACTGCCTTCAACTACATCTGATGGGCAGCAGTTGCTGCAAAAGTCCCTTTTCCCTGCCCAGGACTGCTGCTGCCCATCAGCATCCCTTTGGATGCAAAGCCAGTGGGTGCATGTGTGTGTTAGTTCTGCTGCTGGGGCAGCTGTGGGGCAGAAAAGGGCCTAAAAAAGGGGGTGAAAAAAGCTTTTGGGGAACCCCACAGGTGAAACCTGACTGGGTTTGGACACAAGCAGTGGTGCTCCCCTCCACACTCCAGCCAACCACTAAACCCACCATGCTCCATGTTTCCTCTGTTCCCAATTTCCCGAGCTCTTGGGCCCCCTTCAGACCTCCTCTGAGCAAAGAAAGGAAATTCTCAGAGCAGGCTTCTTCCCATACTGTTTCCATACATTGCACATGGATCTTTAGCACATGGACCTGTAGGGCACACAGAGCTGAGGAGCATGGCCAGCATGGTGCCGGCGGGATGGGGCTGTGCCAGCTGCAGCTCCCTGGTGCTGGGGAGGGCAGCCTGGTCTGCAATATTTAATAACATCAATTATAATAACATTAGTAATAGCAATAACAACAGCAATAATTTCTTAGTTAACCCTTATTAATGAAAAACAAGCCGACAAATTTCCATAACTCCGGGAAAGCCCTGGGACACCAAGCTGTGTGTCTTAAACCACCAAATCTTGCAAGACTTGGTCGTGCCCTTGCTTTGGGTGCTCTTCCCCGAGCCCCTTGGCTTCAGCTTGCTGGAGAAGCCCAGACTGCAGCTGGAGTTCTGTATCCCACCCTCCTTTGCTGTGCTGGGGCAGCCTGGCGTGGATTCAGGGGGCAGAGGGGATCTCCCAGCCTGAGCTGTGGGAAGGAGAAGCTGGTGCCCAGGTCCCCTCTGAGCCTGGTCGGGTACCAGCTCTGGCAGCACCAGCAGTGCTTGGGGATGCAGCACAGCTCGCACACGTTGGGAGTGAATGTTAATGGTGCCAAGCTCCTGGGAGAAATGATCAAATTCTTTGAATAAAGCAGGGAGGAGAGGAAGGGGAGGGGGAGGAAGGGAAAATAACTCCACATACTAATTCTGCTGATGAAAATTAAAACTGGGCATTGCTGCTCCAACCCCAGAACAAGCTGCTTTGGAGCCACAGCTCAGTCCCAGCCCAGCCACAGCCACCCCACAGGGTCGGGTCTGCCTGAGCCTCTCTTCTGCCTGTCCCCCCAGAGCTCCCTGACATGTTAAGCCAGTGGCTCCCTGCATGGTCTTGGGGCAGGGTCAGGGCCAACCCAGCTGTGAGATCCAGGAGGGTTTGTCTTCATCGCTGGTATCTTCACCTCGCTCAGTGTTACCTGCTCACAGGACAGCTCGGAACACCCAGAGTTGTGAGGTTCGTTTCAGTACCAAAGATTCAAAAAATGAAATGCTGAGGGCTTTTAATTAATATTTTATTAACTTCCTGTGCTTTGAGCCTTTAAGGACTTGTTTTTCCCCACCGTGCTCTCTGGCAAGGCAGAAGGTCCTCCTGGGCTGAAAGGAAGGCAGAGACTGAGCAGTGATCACAGGACTCCAGGACCTGCTGCTTTAAAAGGAAAATAAGGTAAAAGTTTGGGAGTGGGCCATGCCATGAGCTGCAGGATCCAACCCTCCCAGCAGCTTCCTCCTGCTCTGCTCCTCTCAGAGCTGGAAAACCTCCTGTGGAGCCTGGGAAGTCCCGTGGGAGGGAGGTGACTCCAGCATTCCCAGGGCGGCTCTCCAGGCACAAGGGGACTTTCCTTGGCTCGGACCAATGTGGGCTGGAGCTGAAGAGGGCACAGGGCTCTCTGCTGGGGGGCACAGTGACACCTTGAGAATCTGTGCTGGGGTTGGGACCGCAGCAACCCCTGGGCGACACCCATGGGTGGGACTCCCCTGCATGTCCTTCTCTGCTGCACCCCACCTTCCTGCCCCCCTCTGCTGCGCCGCCAGCCATCCCCTCTCCCTGGCTGTGATTTCATTTTGATCTCAGGCTGCTTTCCTCCCTCCCTCCATCCCTCCTCCCTCGCTGGCTGCTGCCAAGTCCGCAGGTTCCCGCTGTGACCTTGAGCTGGTTTCTGGAGCCGGTTGTGGGTTTCTTAAAGGAGCCATGGGGTCTCCTGCCACCCCTCTCCTGCTCCCTCAAAGTCCAGCAAACCTTTGCCTGGGGGTGGGGGGGAACAGGGAGTGAGAGCAAGGAGCTCCCCAAGGGCACAAAAATTTGGAGAGAGTTGAAGTGGCCAATTCTGTGGCTACAGCTTGATCACACTCACTACCAACTGCTGCACTTTCTCCAGGGTCAAACAGCCACTGGGAAGGGGGTTCCTGGTCACCAGACCCAGCACTGCATGAGGGGTGGAGTGGGCAAAGCCCCCACTTGTGTGTGGCACCCAGAGCCAGCAGAGGAATGGGGAGGTGTGGGGGTGCTTGGGTTAGTGGAGTGCACCCACCTCCCAGCACAAAGGTGGGGGGTGGCCCTCACTGGCAGCAAGGTGGCCCTCAAAGCCCCACACCCTCCAGCAGTGGCAGGGAGAGCTTGAAAGCAAAGGTAATGGCCAGCTGCTCCCAGCTGCCCTCCAAGCCAAGCCACAGGGCAGACAATGTCTGCCTGCCATGGTGAGATGTTCCTGGTTTCCTTGCTGGACCACACGTGTGTTTATGAGCACATGTGTGCACAAATGTGTGCAAACACAGCCTGACTCACTGGGAAGCTGTTGCTTGCACCCAGCACTGGGTGTTGCACTTAAATCCCAAATCCCACAATCATCCCTGTGTCCTGTGAAGTTGAGCAGTGCCTGGAGTCTCAGCAGGGCAGAAACCCCACCAAACTGCCCTCACCCCAATTCCCAAATGCACCTCAAACCCTCCCAGGAAAATCTTTCGCTGGGTTAAACCCCATGTGGGATGTGGCATGGCCTGGGGAGGACTCTCAGCTCTTGGGCTGAGTCTGAGAAACCAAAAAGCACCTCAAAGTACAAACAGCTCTGTAGTGGACATGCACATGGAGACTCATAGAAGTGCTGGTGTCCTGGTGCTCATGCCATAGAGGTTTTAAGCCACAGTTTAGCTGAGTTGGACAAACTGAAATTCCAGCCTTGCTTGCCCAGCCCAGGCCATACTAAAAGCTCCATCAGCCAGAGAGAACCCCAATCAATATAACCCTTAGGGCAAGTCATAAAACTTTGCAATTATGCAGGCAGCACTTGGTGCTCCACAGCCAAGGCAGTCTTTAATTCATGGGGATGCTCCCAGGGAACCAGGGAGAGGGTTCTTAAATAAGGGAGAAGGAACAAGGGGCTGCACTGCTGCCATCTGCATGGAGTGTGCTGTGCTTGGACAGACCTGGAAGATGCTGCAGTGACAAACCCACAGGTGAGCCTTCCTACCAGGCACCTCATTCACAACCCACTGGAGAGATCCAAAGGTCCACCTTTGTCTGAGCTTCTTTCAATCCTGAGGATGCTGAGCACACAGCACCATTCCCTGCTGCATCACAGGTGCACAGGTCATGGGACTCTGCAGATCAGCCTGGGGACCCCAAAACCAAGTGGTGCCCTGTGAGCTGGGAGCCAGCAACAACTTCTGCCCTGGAATGGAGCTCATGGTAGCCTGTAACAGCATGGGAGGGGGCAGGAGGGGATGCTATCAGCCCTATCTATTATGAATATATAGAGGGAAACTGAGGCACAGTGGGGTTACAGAAGCAGAAGGGGTAAAGGATAGTTATGGGAGAAACTTGGTAGGATCCATGACCTGGAGCAGAACAACCACTTAGGGAATGAAAACCCAGATATTTCTCTCTGTATTGCTATGAAAAATAAGTCACATTTGGATCACACAGAGGCATCAACAGGCCACCAAAAGCCACCGCCCAGTAGCCAAGGAGAGGAGAAACCATTTCTCTGCCACCTTCACCTGAGCTACTGGGACCAGTGCTCTGAGCAAGAAGCCAGGTCTGGCCCGTGGGTGACAGGGACCGAAGCACTTGGGGCTGTTGAGGCAGCACAGGAGGTTCAGCCATGGGAAAGCCCAAGCCCACATCCCACCCAGAGCGGGGACACTGCCCTCGGCTCAGGCAGCGCCACAGCAGGAGGAGGAGGGAAGGGAGTGGGAGAAGGCAGGTGAGAAGGAAAGAGAGGGAAGAAAGGAGAAAAATGAGTTTTCCTGCTGCCCCAGCGGTGTGGCGATTGATCGGGTGCAGGCTGCTCTGGAGCAGTGCTGAGAGCCTCATTCCCCACCGCCGGCTCACAATTATTGGAAAAAAACCGGCGCTGCTGCTGCAGTGAAATTAGTTATTGATCTCTTGTCTGGGTGACAAGCACAGTGCTGGGCTGCTCTCCCACAGGCTGGTCCCACAGCTACTCTGCCCACCCCGCTGGGGCTCAGCATCCCTGGCTGCTGTCGCTGTGTCGAGGAGGTGACCAGAGGTCTTGGTGCTCACCCCTGCTCCGAAGCTGCTCCCCAAGGAGGTTTTGCTCACCCCACTGCACACAATGAAGACATCAGTGGGAGAAAAAGGGCTCTGCCCCACGCAGGATGGAATCCCTGAGTGCTGACAGCCCCCTGCTTACGCCCTTCCCACAGCTTTGCCCCCCACCCACCAACCCCCAGGGACTGAGGTCAGGGTGTCCTGAGCCTTTTTCTACCTCCTGATAACCTGGCTATCATGGAGGGAGATAAGGCAGCGGGAAAATCAGGCAGCCAGGGAGCTTTTGTTGTCTGGAAAAGCTCTGCACATCCCTGGCTGCAGCTGGTCAGACAGGCTGGACCAACATTGCTTGCCTGGCCCTGGACACGAAGGGGCTGTGACGTTGGGGCAAACGGTGTCTGCTCCTCCCAGGGGAACCTTCACAGTTTCAATAACAAAAATCGGGTATTTATTTTGTTGCTGTAAATCCTGGCGGGAGGCAGGAACAACGGGGAACATTTCAAACAATCCTGTTTTCCTCCAAACGTGGTCACCAGAGAAACGCTTTGTCCCGAGGTGAAGTCAGGGTTTGGTTTCCAGAGGGTTTGTTTGGAGTCTCACCCTTGCCTTGAGTTCATCGAGGTGTTTCTTTTGCACAGAGCACGGGTGTCACTGGCAGGGACAGGTTTGAGGTTGGCACTAGAGTCTCCTTGGTCACCTCAGGGTTGTTTGACTGTTCACAGGATATTTTTTTTTCCCCACCAACTTTTTGCCCCAGAAAGCAACTCCCTAAAGTGATTCCTCCCCGGGGTGTAATTAAAGTGGCCTTTGGGATGGAAGTGAAAAGCCAGGTGATGTGTTCCTGGGGGCCAGAGGTCTCTGTAAAACTCATATAACTTTTGCTTGGGCTTCTGTTGGGGTCCCTGCTGTGGGGAGGCAGCTGATGACTCTGCCTGGAGGGTCCTATGGGTGGTGGGTGTAAATCAGCATTTTGGGGGGTCCTTGGGAGGGACATGAGCTGGTGGCACTGCCCGTGCACAGAGCCTGCAGGCTGTGCTGGTGGCAGGATGCCAAGAGGGGACACAGAGGGGACAGGATGGACCAGGAGTGGCTCCCAGGGATGGGCAGAAAGTGCCAGTGGGGTGGCAGGCAAGGGGGACAGCAACTGGAGGCCACTAAGGGCCATCAAGATGGCTCGTGGGATGTCCCCAAGTCCTGTAGCAACAGGCACGGGCAGCTCTCACCTCCTGCCTCCCCCTCAGCATCCCAGGCAGGCAAGACCCTGTCCACATGGATGTCCCTGGGGAGCCTGGGGGATCCTGGCCCCTTTCCCAGCCCTAAACAAAAGCCTGGGAACAAAAGCCTGCGGGATGCAGGAGGCATCTCCCAGCCAGGGGGTATTTGTTTAGCCCGAGGGGAGGGTGGGGGGGGGAGGAGGAGAGGCGAGAGGAAACTGCATTTCAAAGTGTTTTGCCCTTTGAAAACCCATTGCAGCCCCCCGCAGTGCCCTCTGCATGGCCCTGGTGTCCCTGCGAGAGGACACCGGCCACCTCCGTGTCTCTGCTGGGGAGGGAACAAGCCAGAAGATGGAGAAAGAAAAAAAAAAAAAGGCAAATTCAGCCAGGAGGAGGGAGCAGATCGCTGCGGGAGCATTTTCCCGGCTCAGCGCCTCTCTGGGTGGGGAAGTTGGAGCCCCAGCTCCAGGGACTGACTGCTGGGCTGAAAGTAAGCTTGGGAATTCATGTGTTTCTCTCCAGTTCTCCCTGTTTTCACAATTACACTTTTGGGGTTTTGTTGTGTGTTTATTTTGTTTGTTTGCTTGTTTGTTGTGGGGTGTTTTTTTTGTTTTTTGTTTTGTTTTTTTGAGGGGTGAGGGGCGTTTTCCTGGGCCTGGATCAAAACCTGCACCTGGCCCCTTCCCAAACTACCAGCACCTGGAGCAGAGCCATGGGCACACAAGTCCCCTTGCAGATACTGGAGGAGGTTGGTAGAAGCCACCAGGCAAAGCCTGTCCCTTGTGGACCTGCACAGGCTCCTCCAGCAAGTGCCACCAACACTGGGAGGGCTCTGGCCAACTTCAGTCATCCTCAGGCTGCTTTGGAAGGTCCCCTTTCCATATTCCTCACAGCTGGACACGCCCTGGCACCTCCAGCCCTGGCTGTGACACCAGCCTGTGCCCCAGGGACACTTCACACACGAGGTCTCCTGGGGCTGTTTTGGTGTTTCATCACCCTAAAATCACCCATTTCCTCTGGGGCCAAGCAGAGAGGCGCAGCAGAAACCGCATCTGGTGCCTTCTCCTGAGAAGCAGCTTCCCAGTTTGCAACAGGGCGCTTCCCAGCGAGTTATCCTCACACCTTCCCTGCACAGGAGGGTGCCGTGGGAGCGAGCCAGCCCAACCCCAAACCTCCCAAAGCCCAGTAAAGGTGCGATGTGGATCCCAGACACTCCTGCCAGCCTCTGGAGCTCAGCACTGCGCAGAGGTGAAGGGTGACAGGAAGGTGCAGGCACGGGGCTGATCACATCCACCGGCTCTCCTGCCTCCGCGCTTCCCTCCGGTGGAAGCCGAGCCCACGCCGACAGCGGCGGCTGGGCAGATGGAAAGACCAAATGATGGCTTTGCAGGGGGCCTGGGATTTGTTTGAGCCATCGCTGTCTCAGTGAGTGACTTCGAATAACGGATACACTTGAGAAAATCGCCATCTGCTCCCGGACAATTCGCAACCAGAGGAAAAGGTGAAATAAATTCAGCGGCTGTATTATCTCGCCGTCCGCGGCTCCGACAGCAGGGTCAGGCTTTGTGCAGCGTCCTGAAAGTGATTTGGGAATGAGAGGATGGTTTGGGATGAGCAAAGAGCAGACAGCCAGAAAGGGATGGAAGAGTTGAGGCCCCGGGATGTTGCACCCGCAGCAGGGCTCTCCCGGCATCCTGGGTTTGGTGAGTTTGGCAGGAAGATGAAATCTCACCAGATCCGTTGTTTTTTGTTTTTTTTTCCCCCCATCTCTGAATTTCAAGTGCCTCCTGCTTCCAGCTGGGCTGGAAATACCACAAAAACAGATGCTACAATGCAGCACATTTCGTGCTTCAAACACGGGAAGAAATCAGACATGAAAAATAAAATGCAGGGGGTTGCAGTGCCGGCCCCACCGGCCGGGCTGGTGACGAGGCTGAGGGCAGCTGGAAGAGCCCTCGAACCCACAAGCCCAGCCCATGCCAGGCTCAGCAGCTCTGAAAATCAAATCTCTCATCCTCAGCAAGGCAAGCCCATCTCAGAAGCAGATAAAAATGCCCCCTGTGTCTCTGCTTGGCCATGCCTGCGAGTCCAGAAACCCCACATGGCTTAGACAGATGATTTTTGTGCAATTAGGAGGGGGAGAAATCGTTCCCCCAAAGCCACAGCAGTGTGCAGCATTTCCTGGCTGGAAGGATCCCTGGTGATTCCAACAGGACCTCACTGGGGAAGAAAAACCCTCAGTGCTTGGTCTTGCAGGGGTGGGAGGAGCTGGGGAAGAACAGGGCTGGACGTGACCATTTTTGGTGGCCTTTTACTCCTGGCAAGCCCAAAGTGAGGCTGCAGATGTGCCCAACGCTGACATTACCCTGCATTCTGGCTGCACTGATGGGAGCCTGTTGCACAGGAGAAGGTGATATTGGGATTTATTCACCTGCCTTTTCCTCCCCTCTGGACTTTACCTCGGCATGAAGGTGTGTTGGGCACCTGGGGAACATCACCCAAGCCACTGCCTTGGCCAACACAGCCACATTGTGCCACCCCAGCCCTCCCCACTGGGGACACAGCCCATGTGGGTTGGCTCAGCCTGGCTCCCATCCAGCTGACCCCTTTCCCTCAGGAGAGTTTCCCAGCCCTGCACACTTAGGATACCTCACTGGGCCTCCTTGTACTGCCACAAGTGGCTGTGGCCCCATGGAAATGATCCAGGGAAAACCCTCCCCGAGGGGCAGCGCTGGTGTGGATGTGCTGGTGTGTGGGTGCAGAGCAGAACCCCCCACTGATGTCTTTGCTGCCCACACAGGAGACAAAACTCCTGTTCAGTTTTTAGAGCAGGCAGGAGGTGGGCAAGGCACTGCCTAAAGGTGAAGAAAATGACTGTGACCCAGCACCAAGGGCACAACCCTGACCAGGTTGTCACAGGGAGCCCCTGGCTGGGGAGTCATTTTTGGGGGGAACCTGTACAAGGTTCTGAGGAGAACCACAGCCACACTGGGGTCCCACCTGCCAGCACAGCACCCCTGGGCACGGCACTGCCTGTTGGCAGTGGGTATGATGCTCCAGAGTCTGCGCTTGGCCTCGGCCCGGCTGCTGTCACAGCTGGTCCCCTCCTCACCAGGGATGCCGAGGGTGCCGAGTCCCCATCAGGATCCCAAAAGGCTTCCTGCCAAGAGGCACAGGCAGCTCTTGCTCGGCACGGCGATGGAAAGAGAGTGCCTGGGAGCAGAGCCCAGCTGGCACCCCGAGGAGGCAGAGGATGAGGACGGGGAGGAAGCAGAGGATGAGGAAGGTGGGGATGGCAGGGCAGACCGCGTAGCCGAGCGGGAGCGGGAAGGCGAGGCAGCAAGAGCGAGGGAGAGGGAGCAGAAATCTGTTGCCCAGGCTGTGCGCTTCGCTGTCAGCCGGCTCTGATTAACGGGCTGCCTTCCAGCTCCGCGCCGGCTGCGTTCCTGGCAGGAGCGGAGCCCCCCGGCTTCCTGCCGTAGGAGTGGCTCGCTGAAAGGTTACATTTGCACAATGTGCCGCTGGAAAAGCGGTGCCAGAGGTTGCAGGCGGGGGAGCCGGGCGAGCGGGCAGCTCCGCTCCGCTCTGCTCCGCTCTGCCTGTGTAATGGAAAAAACCCTCTGGGGACGAGCAGGAAAATATCAACTTACACTCCCCCAGCACAGCAGAGCTGGGCCCGGCCGGCCGTGGATGGGGGAACGAGAGCACGGGATGGGGTGATTGTGGTGCCCACACCCAGGCACTCAGTGCTGCTCCGGATCAGCCACAATGTGGGGAAAAACAGGGCTCTGCCCAGCACCCCCATCGCCGTGGTCTGTGGGACAGTGACATCCCCCTCCTTTGGGATGCCAGGCTCCCCGGAAGGGCTTTGCACTTGCCATCATCAGGATCCCACGTCTCTGCTGCTTGGTGGGGAAAACTGAGGCTGCTGAGGGGAAATGTTCAAATCTGGCAAGGAAGAATTTCCTCCGGTGGAGGCTCAGCCCGCACTGCTGTGATTTATGGGGCTTGGCACAGCCACGGCTGCATCCACACACACACACACACACATGCACACATCTCATCCACAGCTTTACCAGCCCTGCTACCCCATAACTTTTGGTCTGGGAATATTATTTTGGTGTCTGGAAAGCCTAGTGTCTTGTGGGATCGCTGAGCCCACCAGGGCTGGTCTCTGCCCCACAGCATCCCCTAAAAGACTCTGCTCACCTCCTCCATCATTCCTCTTGCAGCAACGCAATCACCTGAGCAGCTCAGCACCCTCCAGGGTAATGCCCTTTGTCCCTCTCTGCACAAGACTTTCCCTTTCACCTTCTCATTTCTTTATCGCATCTCAACCTGGTCACCTTTTCGCCCCCCAGCCCAGGGGGAGGGGTCAGGGCAGCAGGGGCAGCACCCACCCTCACCCCAGGGTGCTGGAGCCAGCTCGCTCTGTCTTGCAGGAGCCGACATTTTCCTTTCTGTCTCCCTTGTTTCCTTGGTTTCAAGGTTTTTCTTTGTCAATGAGCCCCTAATTAAGAAAAAAAACTCTGGAGGAATCCCAGATTTGGGGTTCTTGGAGTGGGGTTGCAGCTGCCTTTGCACCCCTGGCTGTGGGACCCAGTGGTTTTGCCCTGGTTTCTTGGTTTTTGCCCCAAAGCTTTTAAAAACCCCCTTCCCCCTGTTCCAGAGCCATCCAGACTCCAAAACCCCACCAGGTCCCCCTGCTCAGCATCGCCCAGCCCTGGTCCCCACCACGCTGGGGTGTGAGTCCTCCCCCTCCACTGTCCCCAGCTTCCCTCTGTGTTTTCATTAGGATTTGGAGATAAGCTTTCAAATAAAGGCAGTGTTTTTAACCACTTTGCCTTATCAGCCGGCATCCAACAGCATTCCCCATCCACACAGCGAGGCTTGAAAGATGCTCTAAGGGAAAAAGGGACCTCAAACATCCCAACTTCTCCTTCTCCCAGCCTCACAGCCTGAATCGTGGCTCCGGAGGGCACCAGTGCCTTTGGGAAACTATTTCTGCCATTAGTGGCCCCTGCTCAGGGACAGCAGTGTCAGTGCATGAATACAACCCAAGGACCACTTTGGTACACCTAGATTTTATTCCTGGTTCTGCTGCTGGCCTGAGGATGACCTTTGGCAAGTTGTTTCCCTTCCCAGTGCCTGTGTTTCCGCTTGTCTCCCTCTCAGTCCAGTGACCCTCTGCCCTGCCAGATAACCCCCAGCTCGAGAAGACTCCGAGTTCACATCACCCCCCCAAAAAGGGGTGCAAACAGCAGCAGCTCTGAGCATCAGTGGCTGCTACATCCCCCAAGCACTCACTAGAACCCCCCCCAAGCCCCCTCCCCATTGGGCCATCCCATGGATCATTTTTCCAGCGTGTGTGCAAAGTCCTGAATATAGGAACCAGCTGCCAGCAGTTTCCAGCCCCCAAAAGCTACCCTAGGGAAAAATCAGCTCCTCACATGAGCCTCACCACAGGGGTGTCCCCTGGGACAGGGCTGGAGATGGTCTTGCTCTATTCCTCTAAGTACTGGGGATGATGTGAGGGGGAGGTGTCCTCCAAGGAGAAG